CACCAATCATTCCCCTGCTGGGGTATACATAATGTATGTCACCTAAGCACATCAGGGCCAAGTTCCAGCCGAGTAGGAGAGGACCCTAGGAACATGATTGGCCTTAAAGCAGAGGTTCTATTCATTGTTATTTTATAATGGGTTTATACCTCATATTAAAGGAGCAACCATTTAATATTTGCCTTATTTACTGTCACTTTCCTTGGCAACAGGTCAACAACACAATTTATAGGAATCTTTAGCGTACAAGCAGTTGAATGCTGACTGCCTTGAAGACTAAAGACCAATTTATTTTATGTCCTTGTGCATTGAGGTGTATTGTGATATTTGATCGCGAGTATGTAAAGCATAACCACTACAGCAAGCATGACAAAGCAGTTTGTTTCAAAGGCGCAAGGAAGCATGAATAGTCAAATCGACCTAATTAAATATGCACAGGCCAGCCACTTAATTACAATTATATAGTGACATTCGTCACGAGGCAAAATGTCCTGTAGATAAAAACAAAACCGTTCAATATCCGTTTTAAATATCAACAGGTACAAAACGAAAACCACATCTTGCAATCGAACGAAATTCGTTTTCGACAACTATCACTGTCACGAAACCGATAAAATTGTTGTCTGCACAGCACGCGACTGTGCAGTGTTTGTTTCATTTTCCATAACTTTTAATTTATTTTCACCGAGAACTCGACCAAAATTCAGAGAACAATCAATTAAGCTTTCGAATGAAATTCACCAACTTGATCTTATTCTTTTTACTTACTCTCTTTTTCCTTGAGCCACTCGTCTCGATTCAATCGAATGTCTTCGAACTCAATTTTAGCAGCTGAAAATGCCCATCTGTCTATTTCTCCTCTACCACGGACTGGAAAATAGTAAAGCTTGTAGCCTGACATATTGCGTCTTTTTCTTTCTTTTTTTTCTCCTTCTTACTTCTAGGAACTCCTGTACAACGGGCCAGACAACCTCCGAGCTGTAGTTCGACTCTGTCTGAAGGAAACGCCTCCGCCGTGACTCAGCGATTTAAATTGGTACTCAGGCTTCTAACGTCCATGAATACATTTGTCACGTCACTGCAAGTCACGCAAGTAACAGCAGAAAAAGCAAGGACGAAGCCATTTCTTCTATTGGGTTTGTCAATACCCTGGATGCCAGAGGAGTTTTATCAAACTGTGAGCACGGTTCTGACTTTATCATAAGTACTTCTGGCTCCAGGGTAGTTTGTCAGTGGAACAGGGATCCGCGTCACACTCGAACCGGTGACGGTGACGGTTCGGAGAATAGTTGTTGTATCATGCATTTCAGTGGAGAAAAGATTTTTTAAGGCGACGTTTTTTGATGCTGAAAGTATATACGTTTTCTCCTCACCATGATAGTTTTAAATGCATTTCCAGCCATTTAAGAGGGCTTAAATTTAAAAGTTCTTTGGGGGAGCATGCCCTCGGACCCCCTAGTTGCCTCACGCTAATGCGTTCGAAGTGAGCCGCCCAACTGCAAACTTGCTGCGCAATTCAATCTCAGACAACCAAAGCTCCCCCTTCCCTAGAGACTTGCCCCTTCAGCTATATTTGGTCCGTTTCCTGGTTGGATCGCACCTCTGCGTAAAAACACCGGGCTACCGGCCTGCCCCGGTTCTTCAAACGTTGGCTAGCGCTATATCCATCGGATAACAGACTATCCAGCGGATAATTGTTAGAGAATCCAATTGCAATTGCACTTCACGACACTGGATAGAGATTTATCCAGTGGATAGCGTTATCCACAAATGGGGCATACATCATAACAAACAGTAAACAGCCGATCAAGGAATATATACTGCCTTTATTTGTATACTACAGTTTTGCCTATGTTACAAAAAGACATATATATATTACGTCGACAGGAAGCTCAGTAGTCGGATTGGGGGCGTTTCTCAATCCAGGTTTTTATTTCTTCCACGGCTAACACACGCTTGTAATACTCATACAACAGAGAAAACTTCTTCAATATCTCCTCGATATCTTCTTTTTTTTCTTTCCCTTTCTGGATATCTACGTTCACCTTTAGGCTTTGAAAGAACTCAACGAACGCAATGTCGGCATAGGTGAGCTGGAAGAAAAAAAATAGAGGGAAAGACAAATTACTTACTGACGGAGGCGTTTTATTTGCACAATGTTTTAAGTGAGCAAGCCCGCGAGCGAAAAATTTGACCAAAAAAAAAAGAAAAAATGAATCACGAAAAAAAAAAATAATAAAAAAAAATTAATAATAAAAAAAATAATAATAATAATAATGCCAGTGGTTGTAGGTGCATTGGGTTCAGTGTCAAAGAAGCTGGCAGGCCACTTGGAGAAATTAGGAATTAAAAACGGAACAAGAACGATGCAAAAGTCGGCACTCCTCGGATCGGCACATATCCTCAGAAAGGTGCTGGAAGTCTGAGGTCTCGGGATGAGACTTGACTGGATATTTCTCCCCAGGGAAAATCCCTGTGCTAAATTTTACATCATCATAATAATAAAAAGACTGAGAACGATTTTTCTTTTTCATTTCTTTTTTTTCTTTTTTTAATCAGTTCGATCCACATGTGGAGGACACATGTACGAGCGATTCAGAAAGAAAAAAATCCGAGTTCTTGGTCGATTTTCTCCAAGTATTGCCATACACTCAAAGAATTTTACCTCCAAGACAAACCTGAAGGAAGACTCAGAGAAGTCCCTTCAAACTATCTTGACTTTATAAGAAGAAAATCTGTTAACGAATTGATTATGAACGCATCAAATCCGTATCCTATTTAATAATTTCAGTTGAACCTCCCGTAAGCGACAACCCAAAATGTGAAGACTCGGTAGTCATGATCATTTACAAGAATCAAACCACAGTGGGTTTCATCCGAGAAGGGGACACATTTACTTTATGTGAAATAATAATATATTGATTGCATGCAATTTTCAAGTTGCAATATTTTTAATTCCACGTTGCATTGTCGTTAAAACGAATTCTTCTGACTTATAACTACTCTAAGTGGCATAGAACATACGGCGAACATATATAAGAACAAGCGTCAAAGTGGCTGCTTACAGGAGTCTAGAAACAATGGGTAATTACTAAAACCGTCAGCCCTGAAGAGTAGTCGCGGTCGCTTAAAGGAGGTGCTCGTTTACGAGCTCTTCCAACTGTAAGGCTTTGACTGCGAAGATTTTGATATTTTGGATAGGTGGTCGCTTATATTATGGGAGTGGCCACTTAAAACAGGTGGTCGCACATCATGGATGTTCGACTTTCTATTTCATTTTTTTTTTATCAACTTGTTTTAGTATTAACGATCTCCGGTACGAAATGTTATTAATGCAATTTTAAAATTGTGTCCATGCTTTTTTTCCCTTTTTCTTTCAGTATGCGGTGCACGCTTTTGAAATACTTAAAAGTTTACTGTTATGCAAAAAAAAGTTTGTTGTTGCTGTTGTTGTTTTATCCTTTATGTTTACCTTTTCTCCAAAAAAGTAGCCCTTGCCTTCGTCTCGGCTTTTGAGAAGAGCTTCATATTTCCCAAGCCGGTCAGGAACTGTTGTTTCGAAAAACTCCTTCCATAGCTTTTTCTAAACAAAGATGACGGTAAGAAGAAATATGACCACATTTTATGTCATTCAGCCGGTTACCTTACCATAGGAAATTAACGCTTAGTAATCCCATCGATTTTGTGACGTTCCCGTTTCTGCGTCCGATAGAGGTAATTTAGACTAACGTAAACAGCTGTGGATTCCTACATAACGCGTCTACTGGGTCACAAGTGAAAGCACATTGGGAGCCCACCATTTACTTCATTGTATTTTTGGGCAATGGTACTGAAGAAAAAGAAACTGAAATGTTTTGCTAAAACTTAGTTATCCAACTCTACTCTAATGGTCTAGCGCCTGTTAGAAACCATTTCTTTCAATCTATTCGTCCAAATTACGGAAAAAGAATAGCCGGCAGAATAGGCGCTATATTTCACGTTTTACAGGCGAACGAAGCACGAAGGGGGTGTGGAGCGCGAGACAAGCGCAACGGGGGAACTCGCGCGTGTCTCGCTCTCCTTGCTCGCTTCGCGCTTGCCTGCCCTCGCCTGAAAAACGCGGAATACTAAGGCCTGTTCTCTAGGTTAAAATACGAACGGATCACTGTCGGCAGAGGCTACTTTCCGCACACCCAGTGTGTTCATAGGGTGTGGCAGCCTTAGTATAACGACTGCGAAACAGCGACGAGATCCCTGTTCTGTGCCCTCAACGAACTCAACGAATTACCAGAAGCGCATTTCGAATTTCCTTTCAATCTGATTGACAAATCGACAGTTGCCTTTTTAAAAGGCCAATCATGGCGCATACTCAAATCCTGGTATATAGTTGGGGACCCAGAACGAGTATTTTACCGCTGTTTCGCAGACGGACTTAACCAGAGTTTAGTTTCGTCTGTGGCGCAGGCTAAGGGTGTGGTTATTGGGGTCTAGGTGTGGAATCGTACCTTCTCCTCCTCGTCCTTCTGAAAGTGTGCTTTGACCATAGCAACACGCAAATCATTAACACCATCAACGATCATATCAGCTTGCGCTTCATCAAAACTGTCTGATGGACTTAAACCTGACAGGTGTATCAAAGTACAGTTTTAGATTCAGGGTTCAGCCTGAGAAAAGAGTCGACATTTGAGGACGCCGCAGGTTTCCCCGCGAACTGCCGACGGATGGGCGAGCACAGAAATTCCATACTGTTGATGCGTCACCACCCAGATTTGGCTTGGTCTCTTTTCCAAAACTTAGCTTTAGCAGTATCTTATATTATTAAGGGGCACAATCTTATGAGATGCTGCTAATTAAGCAAGAGATCAACGTTGCAAAGATCCATGCTGGATTCACTGCTCAACAAATTAACTTAAACTATAGTAAATAGAGAGGGATGGTTATGAAGCCCTGCGTCATATGTATTTGTGGACTTGACAATGCACAATGTTGAATGACGAACCTCCACCATCAGGATTAGCTCCCAACAACAACTTCAAGTTACGCTTCAACTGAATGCTACTGAATGGTTTGAGAGAGGAAATATGCATTGTTCCACGGAACAAAAACATGCAGCCAAATCAGTCATCAACGGGTTAAATGGAACCCCTATACTTACACTAGATAAAATCAGAATTCCCCCATGGAAGAGAATCCAAGACAATCTTGGATTCTGGATTCCACACTGTGGATTCCGGATTCTAGGTACTGGATTCCATTCTTTGTCAGTGGAACTTGGATTCTAAATTCAAATTAGTTACGGGTAAAGAGATTCTGGATTCCTTGAGCTGATTCTGGATTCCAAAGCCCAGGATTCTGGATTCCAGGAGCAAAATTTTCCCGGAATCTGAATGTCACATGAAAAAATTTCCTGGATTCTGGAATCTGGATTACCTTATATGGGATGAATCAGAAACTCTAAAGAATGTAGTTTTGCTTACCTCCTTTTTTGCAGATGTATTTCAGAATTGCACCAGACTGTGCCAGGGTTTTTCCTTCAGGAGTAACGATAAAGGGCATCTGGCCAAGCGGAGGTCTGCCAGCTACAAAATAACAAAAAAAACTACATATTACATATACATATATGTACATATTCTATGGCGGGTTTTCACATGACTTCATCCATTTTTAAAAACTAATACTTATGAAAATTTTCACTTTAAAAGGATTCTTTATTTTGTGAGCAGATATATAGGGTATGCTTGAATTTCAAGCCTTTTGCATGATGCGGTATCTACATGGCAGCTGAGAAAGACACTTGAGGTGGGGGGCTTAATAGAGACGGGGGGCTTATTTGAAATAGGGGGGGTGTATTTAAATTTGCAAAGACAATGGTAACAGTCCTCTGTAAAGAACTACAATGCAAAGTGGAAAAGCTCAATTTCAAGAAGTTGGAGGTTATGCAGCCCAGGATCAAAAACACATCTGACATTCCAACACATAAATAAACCGTCCCGATCCTGGATTAGTCGAATGAGGTTTTATAGTTATAATTAATTTATACAGTCTAACATTTATTGGTAACAAGTAATCATTTACCAGTAATAAGGGGGAGGGGAGGGAGGCTTAAAAGAGAGGGGGGCTAATTAACTTTCGTCCCCTAAAAAGGGGGGCGGGGAAGGGGGCACGCGTATTAGAGCGGAGGGCTTAACAAACGATTTACGGTATCAGTAGCCTGCGTAGCAAGCGTTTTCGTGCGGTTTAGGAGCAAAGAACGAGGAACGAGAATCAAAGACCGCGCGAAAATGACCGAGAATCCCG